GGGCGCGCCCTTACTGGCCTCGGACTCCAGCACTTGGGTCTTCTGCGGCCTGCTCCGGAGCTCGAGAGCGCCCGAGGCCCCGACCCGGGGCAGGAGTGCCTGATGCTCCGGACTCCGCCCGGCCCCAACCAGCCCAAGGCCGCTTCCAGCTGGAAGCTGCCGGGCAGCGATCACCTGATCTCACATCGCCGCGCTGGCCCTGCTGGGCCCATTGTCATCTTGGTGGCCTTTAGTCTTTCCAACCAGGAGGCTCAAGTTACTACTAATTAGAATCTTCCTTTATTACTCCACTGTAATTTTCATTTATAAATTCTGACTTAAAAGAACACCCACATATATAATGACTTTTTTCCCTTTGGGGGAATAAAACCACCTTTTCTCAACCTATTTTTTAAAGTCGGGTTTATTGAGGTATAAATTACATTCAGTAAAATTCAACTTTCTTTAGTGTACAGTTATGTAAATTTTGACAAATGTATACATCACCACAATCAACACTAAAACAGTTCTCTCAAAGATTTTTCGTTCCCCTTTGTAGTAAATTCCCTCCTCCCACCCCCAGCTCCTAAGACATTTATATATCTTATTTCCTCTTGTGGTTATAACAAGTATTTCTATTCAGAAGGACAGTAAGGAGATAGGGACATGCAAGTGAAAGGATCTATCAATGGAAGAAGTGGACTCAACTAAATTATACTCATTTTTCTTTTTTTTTTTTTTAAAGATGACGGGTAAGGGGATCTTAACCATTGACTTGGTGTTGTCAGCACCACCCTCTCTCAAGTGAGCTAACTGGCCATCCCTATATAGGGATCCGAACCCGTGGCCTTGGTGTTATCAGCACCACCCTACCGCGACTGAGCCACGGGCCAGCCCAAATTATACTCAGTAAGGGGATCGCAACCCTTGGCTCGGTGTCGTCCGCACCATGCTCAACCAGTGAGCGCACCTGCCATCCCTATATAGGATCCGAACCCACGGCCTCAGCATTAACAGCACCGCACTCACCCAAGTGAGCCACGGGGCCGGCCCTATACAATCTCATCTGCCAATAACAAAAATTTTGTTGAAATCCAGTTGGTGAATTTTCAGCTACCCTAATGGCAATTAGTTGTTGTTAAAAAATAATACAAAAGTGTTGTATTTGTATATTTTTAAGAAATCAAACCCATGGAAACAATCTTTTGTTGAAATACTTTTACAGGTTGGAATGTTTCCAACTATTAAGTGTACAAAAATGAGTGTTTTTATAGGTATCACTTAGTTTTTTAGCAATCATATAATGGCAAAAATCCTCCAAATTAGTTTTCAAAATATTCTCTCCATAAAATGAGTTCCTATAGAAAAGCAGTTACATTCTCACGTGTTATAAAACTATCTTTGTCTTGAAGCGACCGATTAGTGGGAGATTAAAGAAAGGTCTCTGTCATTTTCACTTGTGCTTGCTTTATTATATTATCTGCAATCTGTGGTTTATTCACAAGAACCATTTGATAATCCTTAAATCTACTTAACCACACACAGATAAACTGCAATAAAGCAAACCACTATCAACTTATACTGAGTTATTCCCAATTTTCCCTCTTGGTATCTGGTGTCCTGGAGTGATTTTGGACCTAATTGTAAACATCATTCATTCTGATTGGTCAGTGCCTCAGCCATAGGTTTGGGGGAGTTTTTTGTTTTACTATTACCCCTGCTAAATATATGCTATATAGCTGTATACTAAGTAGACCAAATCAGGGCTCTCATATCAAGCCATACTTTCAATATTAGCAAAAGCTAATTTTTTAAAGATTAAAAAATAAACATACATAGGAATTTTCATATTTTCTTCCCTTACCTCCAAGGAGGGCCTTGTGTGTACTGCTATACATTCCACTTTGGAAGGTACTGGTGTGACAATTCCAGGAGGACCAGAAAGGCAGATTCTGGTTCAGTACACAGAACCATCTTTCACAAAGTGGAGCTTTCAAAAATGACCAGTATCGCTAACTAAAGGACTCCCCAAACATTGGAAGCATTCAAGCAGAGGATAGTTGATCAGCAGGAGGATTACTTGAAAGAGATGAGTAGCCGGGGTAATTGGATTGGATTCCATTACTTCCAAGATCCTTTCCTTTCTAGGAGCTTTTTAGTGTTACGTTAAAGATTAGAAATGACAGGTGGCACCCTTGTTTCTTTTTTTTTTTCCTTTTTGTCTTTTTTCGTGTCCGGCAACGGATCGCAACCCTCAGTGTCGTGCCCGTACCGGACCGGGACCGGCAACGGGATCACAACCCTCGGTGTTGCGCCTGCACCTCGCTCAGCCAGTGAGTGGGAACCAGTCTGTATGTGGGATCCGAACCCTCGGCGGGAGCGCCACCGCACTCCCAAGCGGCACACTGTAGCAATGCGCCACCGGGCCGGCCCGTGGCACCCTTGTTTCTATTTATAAGGGCAGTAACAAGTAACAGAGAGCTAGACTGGTAAACAAAAGACCTACTATCAAGTTCAGTGACCTTGGATAAGTTATTTCATCTCTCTCGTAATAACTTTTTATTAAAGGTCATGAGTTTGGATCCCCCTACCAGCCAGCCATCAAAAATATATATAGAAAGAGAATTTAATAAATTTAAGGCCCCATACAGCTCTAATATTCTGGGGTTCTATGATTCTTCTTCACTAAATATTGTATTGGTTCTTGGGTTTTAAAACGTACTCTTTTAGAAAGAAATTATTTGGGGGTTTTAGTTTTATTTGAAATATAAGTTGAATTTTAAATGCCTTTTTTGTTTGTTTTTGAGACCGGCTGCACCGCGCTCAGCCAGTGAGCGCACCGGCGGCCATCCCTACATAGGATCCGAACCTGCAGTGGGAGCACTGCTGCGCTCCCAGCGCCGCACTCTCCCGAGTGCGCCATGGGCTCAGCCCTTAAATGCCTTTTTGATATAAGATTTTATTTCTTTTTTTGGTTTTTTGGGAGCAGTTCGCCAGTACAGGGATTGAACCCTGGACCTTGGGACCCTGAACCCAGCACCACTCTCTAACAGCTGAGCTAACCAGCCAGCCTATTATTTATTTATTTATTTATGTGGGTTTAGGAAGACAGCTTATCCAGCCAGCCTATTATTTTTTTATTTTTTTTTTTTTTTAATTTCTATTTTTATTTTTATTTTTTAAAGATGACCAGCAAGGGGATCTTACCTTGACTTGGTGTAGTCAGCACCATGCTCTCCCAAGTTAGCCATGGGCCAGCCCTTACTTTTTATTAATGAAATGTGTTTTATAGCTTTTATATCAACATTGTAATTCTGGATTCACCTGAATAATTGTTCAAAATATTTCTCTTCAATTTTTCTAATCCTATTATTAGGATTTTTGCATCTATATTCATAAATAAGAGTCTCCTAAATTTTCTTACATCATCTTGCTTTTTATTTTTTAATATGAGAATCACATTTACTTCATCAAACTGGTGTCTTACTATCATTTTCTATATTTTGGAAGTATACGGAAATACTTTGACAGTCTGGAAAAGTCTCAAGAAAACTATCACAAGCAAATGCCATTTTAATGGTTATTCTTTGACAGTTTATGGATTATTTCTCATAACCAATCTGGGCATATTCTCTTTTAAATATCAGTTTTGTAATATATCTTTATAAGGAGAATTACATTTTGATATTGATCAAATTTTTTTAGCATCAAGCTAACTCTTCTCGAATCTAATTGATTTTATGTATCTCCTATTCAAATATAAATTTGCTAATTTGTACATTTATGGTTGAGCTGACATTTAGCAATTTATTCTGTGAGAACTACTTATAGAGGGGGATATGGGGAGAAGCTGGTCAACAGGTTCAATGTTACAGTTATATAGGAGGAGTAAGTTCTAGTACTCTATTGCACAGTAGGGTGACTCTCGCTAACAACAAGGCATTGTATATTTCAAATAGCTGAAAGAGAGGATTTTGAATGTTCTCACAACAAAGAAATAACAAGTGTTTAAGGTGATGGATATGCTAATTATCACGATGTGATCATTATACACTGTATACACAGGAAATATTATGTTGTACACCAAAAATATGTACAATTACTGTGTCAATAAAAAATTTAAAAACTTAAGAACAAGAACTACTTAATGATTCTATATATTTTTCTAATTTTTGTCATTCATGCTTAGTTTTATTATTTCCACTTTGATTTCTTTTGTTTTCTTTCTAAATTCTAACCATATACCCCTTTAAAAAAAAAAAAAAAAACACTTATTTCCATCCTTATCCCTGACACAGAGACTTAAATATTTAAGCATGATTTTTTTCTTATAGTATTGCTTTGGTATCATCACATACATTTTCTTATATGGAATTTAAATTTTCATTGTTTTAAAAATATCCTCTAGCATATTTTCTACAACCTACATGTTACTTAATGAAGTTGTTTCTATGTTTTTGATCACCATTTAATTCTATGTATACTGTTTATTTCTGTAAAAAAAACAATCAAATTATGTATACATTTCTGCCTGTTCTCACATTCTGGCTACTTTTATGTATTTTGACATTATGTTCTTTAAAGTGACTAAATTCAGTACTACTAGGTTTTCATTATTTAATGTAAACTTTATTACTATTAAAGTTTTGTGAAATTTATTTTATCAGATACAATGTAAGCAATCACTGCTTCCTTAAATACATATTTGTTACAGCATTTAGAAAGCTTAGATCATACCTTTAACTTTTTTTTCATTTTAAGTATTTCTTTGCTTTTCATAATGGTAGGACTTAGTTTTATTTTCTAAATTGGTAGCCCTTCTTTTCAAAGGTAAATTGAGTCTGTTTACATTTAATATTACAATTATTAATAAATGTTTATAGAAGGAATGCATAAATGAATGCCTTTTCAGATCCTTCACACCTAGTTTTTTCTTTAACCTTAAGTTAATGTGCACATGTATAATGAGAGATAATGTAACCTGGTATGCTTAGTTAACTTGATGATATACAATATGAATTAAATTGGATTGACTCTTACTTGCTTTTTTTCTTTCAGTGAAAACACTATTTCCTTATTTATGTCAGCTTTCTCTCAATCCCTTAGTAAATGAAGAACTGAAATAGAACAGGATAGAGTCCCATTTTAAATTCAAACAAAGTAAAGATATTGAGGTTTGACAGCAGACTAATCATAATGTCATTTAACAAGGTGAATCCAGTGAACACAGGTAAATGTCTACAAAAATTAAGGTTTTTTTTTTTTTCTAAAACATTAAGGTTTTGACCATGACACAACGCTGTGCCACAACCACTCATAGTAATTCAACTGCCTTCACATTTGACAATAACATGATACAAGTGAATTTGCTGGAGATTAGCAAAATTACAAAATGAACCCAAGGTCACTTAATCTTAGAGTAACAGTAACAAAGAAACCCTAAGAATGCAGGTCAAGGCAAGAGACTACAGCTGGCCAGATATGATATCATTTGCCTAATTTTCCTTAGGAATTTGCTACACATAAAATAAGTATCTCTTCTGAGTTACTAGAAAAGAAAACAAGTACTACCTACCACCATTCTGTGACCATGAAATTAAAATATTTCCTAAGTGAATGATTAAGAAAAAAGTCTTTTTTTTTTTTGTCTTTTGTCTTTTTCCGTGTCCGGCAACGGATCGCAACCCTCAGTGTTGCCCCCGTACCGGACCGGGGACTGGCAACGGGATCGCAACCCTCGGTGTTGCCCCCGTACCGGACCGGGGACTGGCAACGGGATCGCAACCCTCGGTGTTGCCCCCGTACCGGACCGGGGACTGGCAACGGGATCGCAACCCTCGGTGTTGCCCCCGTACCGGACCGGGGACTGGCAACGGGATCGCAACCCTCGGTGTTGCCCCCGTACCGGACCGGGGACCGGCAACGGGATCGCAGCCCTCGGTGTTGCTCCCGCGCCTCGCTCAGCCAGTGAGCGGGAACCGGTCTGTATGTGGGATCCGAACCCTCGGGCAGGAGCGCCGCCGCGCTTCCCAAGCGGCGCACTATCCAGTGCGCCACCGGGCCGGCCCAAGAAAAAAGTCTTAAAAAAAATATTAATCATTCTCATGTGTTCACAATAACTCTATTTCTGAATTTAAAACATTACTCAGTATTTGTGTAAGTATCAATTTAGACAATATGGCTTTTGACATATTAAAAGTTCTATGGGGAAAACTAAGGCATCTTTTAATTTTGCTTTAATATCAAATTAACAGAGTAACTTAAAAATTCAATAAGAGCATGGGTTAATGTTATTCACAAAGTGCTTCCAAAATCCAACCACCTAGCTTCTTTTCAGGAGAAACTGTACATCAACACAAATATTTCCTGATTTAAATTTTAGAAAAGAAAATGGAAAATCAAACCCACAGCAAGATGGTTGTATAAGATATTTCCTCCTCTTATATGCCATTCTATTTCAACAGATGATTCAACTGGTCCTGTAGATCTGATGATTGTTCAACACTAGATATTAGAATACAGAAAGGATTTATCTGGAATGAGCAATAAAGACATCTCTTTGTACAAACTACTTGTTTTTTGTATTTTTTTTTTGTTCGTTTTTTGTGGCTGCCTGGTATGGGGATCCAAACCATTGACTTTGCCAACTGAACAAACTCGCCAGACCTGTACAAATTATTTGTACTTTAATGCATAAATACTGTTGCAGCTAAATCAAAATTTATATTGGTCCACTTGGGTCCTAGAATTGTTTAAACTATGAAGAAAGGTTCACAAAGCCAATTAGTAGTGTAAACAATATTAAAAGGGACAAATTTAATCCACTTAAGAAAGCAAGGCTGTTTAATGACTTTAGCATATTTATTCTACTTAATGAGTATTACCAATATAAAAGGTTTTCTATTCCTTAAGGTTGGCCTCTACATCCTGTAACTTTTAGGAAGTCTTTACTAGCAGGGAACTGAATTACTTGCATGCCTCTGAAATATACTATATTCTTTAAATTCTGAACAAGCTATCCCAGAGCATATGTCAATTTAAGGGCATATGTCAACCACATTTTTGCTATGATTCTGGGCCCAACAGTATTATTCCTCCCAGCCTGCTTCAGCTGGTTCCGCACTCCCCTATCTTTGGGGTTACTTACTTCTTCTGAATAGCTTCTTGCCTAAATCAGAAAAAGAAAGAGAAAAATAAAATAAGAAAACCCAGTAAACTAACAGAAATTATTTATGGCCAGATATATAGAGACTGAACAAATTTCTAGCTTATGTCACATTCTACATTTATTTCCACCCTATCCTAAGATTACACTGTTGAATAGGGATTCCTATCTGAGTGCAGAGTTGTTGAAAAGATGGATTCTAAAGCTGGAGAGGTAATAAGACTTTTCTGGAATGAGGGATGTGGTCCAACAAACCACATGCGTGGCTCAAATTTAGTCTGGGTATATGGAGTCAAATGGTCACATACTTAGAACGTACACACCCAAAGACTGAATATGACAAACGTTACCTATTTAAATATCAAGAGTTAAATTCCTAACCATATATTTCCAATAGGTACATAAGTATATCAACTACATAAAATATAAAACAAAACAAAATAAGATGAAAAGCCAATTAAATTATAATTTTACCCAAAATTATAGTGGAGCCAAAATTATAAAGAAGATGGGGTCTCTAATTCAAAATCTTCTGGATGATTTATATGTACCTGGTGCTGCACTACATGTGGAAATGTAGGATACAGGTTACGTTTATGCTTGATTCCCTAGCACAGGGGCAGACTCCCCAGGAGAGACCTTGGGCATGACAGTCAACAAATACTGATTGTTTCCCAGATGCCAAGCACAGTGCTAGCTTGATCCTGACATGGGACGTGCACTTATGGAGTTTATAGGTTACGTTTATGCTTGATTCCCTAGCACAGGGGCAGACTCCCCAGGAGAGACCTTGGGCACGACAGTCAACAAATACTGATTGTTTCCCAGATGCCAAGCACAGTGCTAGCTTGATCCTGACATGGGACGTGCACTTATGGAGTTTATAGTCTCTCCATCTGAGGAGCCCTCACATGAACACAGGGAGGTTCATGAAAGGTGACCCCCATTCCTACTCTCACCCACTACCCCAACTTCTTCTGTAGTTTTAGATACCTCTTCCATCGAGGAAGTCATCCTTGACCAACCCCACCTTTATTCTCATCCCTGCTTCCACAGAAAATGTGCTGAAGCACAAAGGCAATGAAAGCAGGCTAAGGATGATGGTTTTCCAGCAAGTAGTTGCTGGAGAGGGTATTATACTCACTGGTACTGAAGATGTGTGGTTATTATTGCCATTTTCCTTAAACTCTGCATTTAAAAAAGAGAGAGAGAGAGAAACAACATTCCACTTTCCTGTAGCCATGCAAACTATTTATATAAAACCCGAATCATAAAAGAAATTGTTTCTTACATCTTCTGAGTGCAAGATGGCATCTTCCTGTAGTACCATGTTTCGTGCTGCCTGACCTAGCAGCTGGAAGACAAAAATAAAATGGGAATAATGAAAATTTCCAAACTTCCTGTAATCTTCTTACTGCAGCTGTTACACTAAAACTCTTCCTCCTCCCCCCTTCCTCCACCCTATACAACCACATACACTCAAAATGTAATGGAGAATAATTTTCCACTTATTCATGTTGAAAATTTATTTCACTGGCACTCTAGCAGTTCTGGCACGGGCTTGACATCTGTTCCAAAGACCACTGCCTGAGAAATCAAGTCCTTCATAACTGCTGAGCTCTCTGCACAGTTTATTAATCAAGTGTGGAGAGAAATCTGCAAAAAGCTTTGATTCCAAAAGTCCAGTGAGAGAAACTAACTTCTGATTCCTTAAGGCAGACTTGAGATTTGGGGTGGCTTGAGAGGAGTGAGAGAGCAGGAGTTAGGGTAGGCTGGAAAGGACAGAAGGAATGGAGCTGTTTAGGAACAGAATGAGAGAGACAGATGGGAAAAAAAGGCATGAGAAGAAGCTTGAGGCTTAAAGTGGGAGACCATCACATGAAAAATGGCCAGATGGGACTGGGAAGAGAAAAGGGAAATGTACAAGCAGATTTTAATGAGTTCACTGGGCCCTGAGACCAAGAGAGAAAAGCTGAGCCCGGATTCAGCAGGGTGGCCTATGATCAAGGCAGATCTGACTGAGTTAGCACTGAGAGGCAAATGGAGATCAACAGATTTCGGGCGCAACAATGCACCCTGCTTCTGACATACGTAAGTTCAGCCACATAAAAGGAGCTACTGTTGGGCCGGCCCATGGCTCACTTGGGAGAGTGTGGTGCTGATAACACCAAGGCCACAGGTTCGGATCCCTATACAGGGATGGCTGGTTAGCTCACTTGGGAGAGCGTGGTGCTGACAACACCAAGTCAAGGGTTAAGATCCCCTTACCGGTCATCTTTTTTTTTTTAAAAAAAGGAGCTACTGTTATGTGTATCCTACCACCCCTTCCCTGTTCCCTTGGGTCAGAGAGATTCTGGTAAAAAGGGGGGCTGAGGACTTCAAATTAACCAGAAACATCAGCATTGCTACAATTCCCAGATTCCTTCCCCCACAGCAACTTTTATTTATTTTTCTTTTTAATTTAAGTTTTACAATTAGTAAGCCTTTATGTGCTTCTAAAGTCAAAATAATAAAATAAGACCTTCCATCCCTGTCCTTTTCCCTTCCTGTTCTCTCTCTCCAACGCACAACTATTTTTATTCATTTTGGGTTTATCTTTCCATCGTTTATTATAAAACAATAGACAAATGTATTTATTCCCCTCCCTCCCAACTTCTTTCCTAAAATGAAACATACTATAGCCACACCTTGCTATTTTCACTTCAAAACATATCCTGAGCTCAATTTGCAGCAATATATACTGAGTCTCCTCATTACTTTTTACAACTGCAAAATACCACACTATATACATGTACCATAAGATTATTCAACCGGTCCTCTGCTGGTGGACTGTGGGGTTCTTTCCAGTCTTTCGTCATTGTAAGCAGTGCTACAAAAAATTCTCATATACGTCTTTGCATCTTTTTGCCAGTGTGTCTTTGGGATAGACTCAAAGAATCATGATTGTGATTACTAGGGTTTTAATTTTGCTACATATTGCCAAATTCCCTTTCATTAGAGTTGTATCCTTTTGCATTCCCACCAACAATATATAAGAGTGCCTGTTCCCCACTGTGGCCATTTTTAAGGGGCAAACTTCAAACTCCTATAGATGGGGAATGGGGGACTGATGAACTGATGGCACAAAGAAAGGGTTTTAACAGAATCTACTTCACTCATTCACTTATTCATTGAACAAATATTTATCAAGTGCTTACATTTATGCCAGTACTCTGGATAAGAGTAATAATGAGGCTTGCAATCTGGAGGGGTTACAAAGCCGACACAGGCACTAAAACACCTTGTGGTAAATGCTGATGGGGAAGCACTGGATGCTCAGGGAGCATGTGGGGAGCAGGGGTGTCTAACCCATTACAGGCGTAGGTGTTCAGGGAGAGGTTCCTAAAAGAAGTGACATCTAAGCTGAGACCTAAACATTAGGGTTTAGAATTCATCTTACATGTAATTTTATAGAAAAGTGGTATGACCAGATTTACTGTTTTTAGAAGGGTGGTAAGCAGAATGAACTTGACAGGGAAACGAAGGCAGAGAGACTGGTTAGGAGGACATTGAGTACTCCAGGGAACCAATGAGGGTGGTCTGAAACACAGAAGTGGCAGTGGAAAAAAAAAAAAGAATCTGAGAAACATTTGGAAGACAGACTTGATGGGACCTGTGGTTGCCTGGAATGCAGGGAATGCTGTAATGTAGGCCAGGGCCTTTTCCTTGATAAAGTACTCATTGGCATTCTGCATCATTTTCTTACGTAAACCAACCAGACATAACGTACCATCTAAAATTGCCAGTTTTGGGCCGGCCCGTGGCTCACTCGGGAGAGCGTGGTGCTGATAACACCAAGGCCCCGGGTTCGGATCCAATATAGGGATGGCCGGTT